ATCCCCCCACTCTCTCTACAACTTGCCATTAATTTTGGCCTTTAATACCGTTTCTCCCTTTGCCAAGATTCGTTCCACCATCCATTCACGCAAATTCGCCAAGTAGATGGCAATCTGCATTCTCCAATCTCTCTTGTCTTCGATATGCCCGGTGAAGATTCGAAAATCAAAACGAAACAAAAAATTTAGCCATTCAATATAATATCCATTTTCATTGTGCGAATAATTTTTTTCACAAAATAAATTTTACTAATTTAAAACATCGCGCAAATTTATTTCACTGAAGCCTTCGATCCTGTATTAAAATGAAAGCCACAGCTTATGTGGCGAGCATTGAATCAATTTCAGATAAGATTCAAAATCAAAAACTGGCTGAACAAGAAATAGTTGTTCCTGGTATTATCCATTTAATTGGAAAATATTTTAATTGAAACAAACTGTAATTTTTTTAAATAAATTTCGATAAACTGTTTATTTTATTGCATTTGTTGATAAAATATTGATTATGAAAATAAAGAAACTACCTTACATCAGTTCAAATAATGGAAGTCATTATTATTAATTAATTTTGTAATTATCTTGCGTTCGTCTTCGTTAAAAATTTTGTTAGGATAAATTAAAATATTAAAAATACCCTTCCACGGATTTAAATCTAATAAACGTTTTTATTATTATTATTATTAACAATAATAATAATTGTGTATGCTGTTTCCGGCTTTGTATCCTGTAAGGCCGGATCCAAACTATAGTCCTTAGGCTCTATAGGAGAATTGTCATTTAACTGATAGCACTTTTCTTAATATATGGGATGTTTCTAGTAGGGCGATCTTCTTGGCAACTTGTATGTTGATGTTACCTGGGATATTATTAATGAAATTGTTCATTCCTTTTTTCACGTGGCACAGATCTCCGAATACTATTGGTATAGTCTCAGTCTTCATTTCACACATCTTTTTAATATCGATTTCCAAGCCTTTGTATTTGGAAAATTTTCATGGAGTTATTTCTCTGAAATGGTACTGCTATGTCAATAAGCTTCATGGATTTGCTGTCTTTTATGATAATATCAGGTCTGTTTGCTTTTATGTCCCTGTCACTTTGAATAATCATATCCCAGATCATAGTTACATCGTTATTATGGGTAACTGAGTCTCTCTCAGTGGTTTTCATTTTGTGCTTACATATCTTCAAGTGCACACATGTCGCTACCTTGTTATGTCTGTGGGTATATTCATTTTTTGCTAGTTCCGGACATCCTGAGATAATATGATCGACAGATCCATCCTATTTTCCGCAGATCCTGCATTTCGGGTTCGTTCCATCCTTGATTATGTGACAGTGATAGTATAGCGACCATCTTTACACACACACATACATACCTATACAAATTCAAATTTCAATAACAATCATTCATTGGATAGAAATCAACGTTACTGTCTTATGCGACAATTTTAAAATCGCTATATTTTCGTATAGTAGATTTTGTGCACTTTTTGGAGAATCGGCTCCCAGAAATCTCCCCAAAGCTCATTCACTGATTAGTCAGTGTCGACCAATCGGATTGTCTGCACGTGAAGAGTGATTCTTCCCGCGCAGCACTTCTGATCCAATGATCACCTATCAAAGCAAGATAAAAGTGCAGACACACCAGTCAGACTTCAGCTGCCACAGAATTCCACAACAATTGAAGCTATGGCCGATCTTCTCACTCAACACTCATAAACTGCATATTCTTTTACATTTGAATATTTTCCTCTTGCACAGCAAAACTGTTAAAAAAACATTTATTACAAACTATTAACTCTTTCTTTTCAGAGAACTTTGATAGACAATGATAGTCAAAGAGAGACAACTCTCGTCTTACTCATTGCATGCTTTTTTCTTACACATTCTTTATTGTATACATTGTTGAATAGAATTTTTATATATAATGATACCTTTGCCTTGTCCTTTCTTTACATCAGTTTGGTTTCCTAATCAAAATTAAATCGATGTGATTGAAGTCCGCCACATTAGAATCTGGTTGCGAAGCTTTGGTCGCAAGCTTCAATAATTAGGCCTTCTGTCTCAGCTTTCAGTCCGGTGCTCCTCAGCCACTGGCGTGTTTTCTGTTGGTTCACATTTGCTTCTATCGTTCTTTTAGATATTTATCATGCAACGCCCTGTCCTCCCAATCTTTTGTAATTTCGTTTGGCCATGTTGTTTTGCTTTCTGTTTTACTCGTTTGAGTAGATGGTATTCGCTTAGTTATTTGTTAGTAAGATTTCAGGTATATTAAACTGTTTCTTGAAGGGTGCTGCTTCTTTGTTGAAGGATTGGATTTGGTGTTTTACTATTTGTAGGAGAGGGTCGTTTGTTTTTATAAGGTATGCTACCAATCCAAATGTTGCAATTTTTAGAGTTAGTTCAAGTTGGATTAGATCTGTAACACCTAATGTTCTTGATACGTACAGCCTATCAACAACTGCTTTCGGGTGGTGTATCAGCATTTCGATAAGCATTTTTCTTGTCTTAGCGTCAAATCATTTAATATCATTCAACTTCCGTTTAATAATGATGAAACTATGTTACTACGGGTATAGCTAAGGTTTTGATAACGTTCATTTTATTGGTCCAATTAAGTTCGCACTCTCCTAGAATATTCTTTTCGGATATTTTTCTTCATAATTGAATATTGTATTACGTCTCCTTCATTAATTAATAATTATTTGCATGTACCATCTTCGTCTAGTTCCTTAATCTTGTTGTTGATATCTGTAGTTTTCGTTAGTTTAACGCCTTTCATAGTAGCTTTGGTACATTTGTCGAAACCGAACTCCATCCTAATCTCTCTGCTGATAGTTTTGACAATGGTGAATAGGTTTTTTATTTGTGATCATCCTTGACAAACGTTTTAAGAACAACAATATAAAATATGTGATTCAGTTTGCTATTGCGTAACTAGTATCCTACTATTATTCAGACCGCGTATATAAAAAGATAAATTTCTGTCATCGGTCTTTCCATTTCGTCCCTTACTTTAGCTGAGTGGCGCTAATACAAAGCAGAAGAGTAGTGGTGACAGTGAATTTCCTTGGGAGATCCCACTTTTGATGTTGATTGCTCTCGATGTTAATGACCCGTTTGTATGCTTTAGATTTAATGTCTTCCAATTTTTCATGCTCTCCGTTATGAAGATGACCGTTCTGGAACATGCTCATATTTTTCGGCTCTTCTCTATTCATAACTGCGGTACGCAGGGACGCCTTTCAGTAGTCGATCAATTCTATCGATAAGTTTCTTTTCCTTTTTTTCTCCTCTTCCAATATTGTTTTATCGATAATTAGTTGATTCTTAGACTCGTAACTTTATCTTTTACATTCCTTCTGTTCTGCTGGGAGTAAATTGTTTTTTTTTGTTTTTTGTTTTTTTCTCAAGGAAGTTGCATGTCTTCTCAGGTATTATAGAAACGAGGATCTTGTACATTGTTGGTAGGCAGGTCATGAGCCTATAGTTTTTCGATTTCTGTGTCGCTTCTGTTTTGGGGAGTAAGTATTTTACTACCAACGTGATCCATTTCGAGAATTTTTCTGAGTTTCTGATTATATCATTGTATATTCGTGCGAAGACTTGTACACAGGGTTTTTATTCAAAGAGTGGCTATTCGGCCTATCCCCGGTACCTTCCAGTTTTTGGTTTTGCACATGGCAGAGGTTGTTCCAGTAATATTGATATCCGTCCATTTTAGGTATTCTATGCGTGTTTCGTTTCTGCTGTTGCTTGATGCATGTAGATCTTTCATTGTGCATTTTGCTCTTCTCTCACATCTTACCTTAGAATTCCTCAACTTCCTGGATATTACGTGGGTCCTTATCTCTATTTTTTTCCTAGTTCTCGATATATTTTCTTGGCATCTTCATGGAGATCTTGTTTTGTAAAAAGAATATGTTCCTTTTTTTTCATAATGCCTTTGCTTGAATTTTTTGTTTCAGCTTCTCTTTAACTTTTGTTATGTCAGTCTTATTCTTAATGTCAAGGCTTCGTTTCACTTGTCTCTTTTTCTTTCTTTCATTTTAGAGCCCTAGTCTACTTCATCTAGAAGTGACAATTATCCTCGTATTTTATTTATTTCAGTTTCTGTTTTACTCTCCAGGCTAGCATTTTTCTTTTTTGTTGACGTTGTGTTTTTAATTTTCACTTATTGTTTCTTAGATCGCTGCCAAGGCCGCGTATATAAGAAGATAAATTTCTGTCAGGTTCAACGGTCTTTCCATTTCGTCCCTTACTTTTCTAATTGCTGGGTTAGCGAGGTTGATGATTTCCTTCACTAGACGTTTTTTCTTACTTTTGGAATTATTGGCCTTTCCTCGAAAGAAATTTCCCTTACATCTTCTAATGTATATCGGATGTTTTTTTGTCATCTCTGTGTCTCTCTCATATTCATCATTATGTTCCATGATTTGGTGTGTACCTCGGAGGGATAATTATAGTTGGTTTCTATTTGTTCCTCTGCATGTGTTGTTGGCATTTAGCCTCTTAATGTTAACGCTTAATCTATTTTTGATGTTTTCTCGGATGCGTTCTGTGTCAGGTATTTTTTTTTCCTGATCATTGACATTGTCTAGTTTGTTGAAATATATGTCTAGTCTGTTTTAAGGATGTTTTTCTCGACATATATTTGAGGCGGCTTTGATCGCTGTTGTCGAATTTATCGTAGCAGTGTAAAACACTATATTTACATCAGTAAACCATTTATTTATTGTTCTTTTTTGTGGGATTTTCTGCTAATTCTCGTTGGATTGAGAACTAGAGGGAAACCACGTTCCTATTGCATACTTTTTGATCCCATCTAATTCCTCACTGGGGTTCGCGATCTTTGTTGACTCGCGTGACGACCGATACAGTTTATAAATATTTTTCGTTGTGTTAGCATTTTAATTAGTTGTATTTACCCATATGTAGGGGCTGGTTCGTAGGAGCCATAGCATATCCATGTCATGGTTGGCCATAACATTCAGCGCTTACGGTCAAATCACGTATGAAACACCGGTTCTCGTTCGATCACCGAAGTTAAGCATCGTAGAGCCAGGTCAGTACTTAGATGGGGGACCGCTTGGGAACACCTGGTACTGTAAGCCCCCAAAGTCCAACCCTTACCTCACAGTCGGTGGGGGGTGTAAACGGTAGTGTCAGAGCTATGCCGCCCGGAACTTCGTTCCTGGTAGGGCCACCCAAGGCGGACATGTCTGACACACACGCCGGCTAACAAGGGCTCTGGTGAAAATCCAAGGAGCGTCTGCATCAGCAACCGACTGCTTCTGGTCGTTCCTGTCTCTGCGTCTGTGGGAACCCCGTGGAAAGCAAGAACGTTATCCGAGTAGGCCTGGGTACCCTACTTCTGTAATTTATCCCAAGAATCTTCTTCTCATAACAAGAAGAAGCCGGCTCAATCCGCCCAGGGTGAATGCCGCATCAGTACAGTACAGTACAGTAGTATAACATTCAGCGAGCCAGGCCACCGCCTGCTATTTTTTTTTATTTATTATTATTGCTGTTGTTCACAACAACGGTAAAATCTTCATTTATAAGCATTTAGATTCCAAGGAGACAGGACATGCTTCACGAGGCTCCGACATAACTTTAATTTTCAACGGAATTCTTTTTTACTTTTTCGCTCTTATGTTCAATGATATGAAACTATATTCAAATCTCTCTAATCCTGTTATTATACGAACATATTTTACCCATAAATACAATTAATATATAGATACTAATAATAAAAAAGATATTATTAGTGTTTGCATTGTATGGCTTATAAAATAAAGTCTACCTAAATTTCTAATAAATAGATAACAAAATACCATTACAAAATAACCGATACGTCACTATCACCATAATCACCTCCATCATCACCACAATCACCTCCATCATCACCACAATCACCTCCATCATCACCACTACCACGATTATTATTATTATTTTTAGTATTATTACATTCGTCTTTATTTCTCATTCTTGTTCCAATTATCAGTAATAAGAGTCTAATGTCTGTTCAATTCTCTGCTCGAATCAGGTAAAAAAGATAAATTAAGATTTGTATAAAAAAAATGATAAAAGTAGTAGGTACTGATAATGATCAGGTATATCAAAAAATAAATATAACTTTGTAATATGTCTCTAAAATTTAAACATTATAAATCTAATATTATGTTTGCAGTTTTATAGTAAGCAATGTACTTATATACGCGTGTACTTATATATATATATATATATATATATATATATATATATATATATATATATAATATATACACATACAAACCCATATATAGAAAATTATATATTAATATTATTATCATTATTATTACTACAATTATTATAATTACATTTATTATTATTATTATTATTAGTAGTAGTAGTAGTAGTAGTAGTGGTATTGTTATTATTATTTCAATTTGCGTTTACCTTTTGGAGTGCGAATTGCACAAGTGTCTTATCCAGAGATTTGAAGTGATAGCAAGTTTTTGGGCTTATGAAAATATGCAAACAGATATGTTCTATGAAACCAGAAAAATGTAATTGTGGTTACTACATGGAGAGAAATCTACCCAAGATGTGAAAAAGTCCCCATGAATATATTTTTTTTTTTGCTATTCTCATATCTTAGGCCTGACTAGAATTTGCTCGACATATTTGCTTTTTTTAAAATATAATCCCCAAAGTCTTAATAACAAAAGTCAACGTTGTTGTCATCAGATGCCATATTCTACTAATTATTTTTTTTTTATCTCGTGTTTCTTTCGGTTTGTCTTCTCAAACGGCTCAAAGACAAGTTTGGCTGGCCTATCGGCATCTTTCAGAAGTCATGAGTTTTTTTTTATTACTACTGCACAACAAATACAAGGCCCAAGAGCCACTTGACTTCGAGGGTTACTGAATAAGATTGATGCAAGGATGTAAATGGAGGAGGAGTATATTATGAGGACATGTAAAATAGATAAATATTGATCCTAGACTTGACGAAATGAAGATTGTGGTCGGGGAAGTATCCGACCTATGTCCTATGGCAGACAATGTTTGAGGGTGAATTCACCCATACCAAAGGAATACGAAGGAAATAAGGGTGAGTTGGTACTGTGTACGTGACATGAAAATCGAAGTAAAGGTCTGAACTGGTGGATATAAAGATTGTAGCTCGTTCAAATATTTGAAATTAAAACAGATGAGATAGCAAAAGTCTAACAACTTTTCGTCTGTAGGAATTTGGCTGTAGGGTGGAAAATGATTCATCATCCACAAAGCAGCATAAACGATTTTGATCTCTGTCAAGGCTGGACAGTGAGAACTAGTCATCGATACTCAATTCGTGGTCTGATATAGAAATAGAGCATAGAAATAGGAGTTAGGTATTTTCTGGAGCAACACAAAGAACTGGCCATTCTTCCAACATCTTTAGCAATTATACCAATAGACGAGCCCACTTGCAATCATTAGCAATATTTATTCCCATTAGGCGTTCGAAGTAAGCGTCCTCATTGAGCGTCGAGTCAGAAGTGGAGCAAATTTAGACTTTGTTTGGTGGTGATAAATCTTTACTAGTGTTACTTACCTGGTGTAAGGGTATTCCACAGACGAGGCTCTGCCGAAGGGCAGAATCTCGTCTCGGAAAACTGACTCCGTTTTTACATGGTTATACGGATACCCCACTTTAAAACTCGGCCATGTGCTACATCTTGCTGCGTGGGGTAGCGGGTAAATAATTACTAGTGTGACGACGTTCTCCGCTCGTACGTCGTTCAGTGCACCTGTGATGACATCCAAGGTCGGTTGTGTCTGCATCCGCACCCGACTCGCTACCTACATAGATTTGTCTCCTTAGCCGTGATCGTATTGAAGAAAAATAACGACAAATGCAGTTCAAGATACTGGTTGGAAAACAGCAACAATACAAATTCTCACTAACCCTCCAATCTTTCTTTTCGTCTTCGATGGCTGACTGCTCTCTCTCTCTCTCTCTAAATACTCGTTAGTTTCTTCGCTCTCTGGCTTCTGGTCACCTAATCACTCACTGGTCACCTACTTCCTTACTGACTTCTTGCATCTCTCTGCTTATATGGATACTAGCTGGGCTCCAACCACCCCTATACGCTCCTTTGTGCTCCAAAACAAGAGACTAATCATTTGGCTTTTTTGTGTGGTCAGTTTCTTCAAAGGACTACTTTTATGATTATCAAAATCATTGACAAAATTTTATGCTTGCCAATTCAAAGGCAGCTGGAGACAGACATTCTGAAAACTCTTAAGTTGACCTCAAAGACGGACTGGAGACAAATTTCCAAAGAATCTTAGATAATTAAGTGAGCTTAACCCTAGAACACTAACCCTGGGTATATGGTACCCGGCGCAAATCCTATTTTTGACTACAATATTCAGTTCCTGATTTTCTTACCTAGATAATATTTTTCAGTTCCTATTAATGTTAAATCAAAGTACAAAGTTTGAAGTGCTTACATGTAAAATATTTCAAATAAAGATTTATGTTTAATATTTGTTTTAATATTTTCAAAATCGGGTATGATAATCCCATGGTTAGTACTAGTGTAACTTTAATTGATGGTTAGTATTCTAGGATTAAAAGGAAAATAAATTTATCTACTTATCTCCTAAGTATGTGTGAGAAATAATATTATTACACTAGCTTTTGTTTTAGAGGCATTAAATAATAAAAGTTCGTCTTTACTCTATTGAGTAAAAGAACTAGATCTGCTGCCAGGATCTGGTCATCTAGATTTTGCGAGGTGCACCCACAAACCCTGGAACCATCTACATGCATATATTTGCTAAAGATCTGAGAATGCTCGTAGGTAGATCCTTAATTCAAAAGTAGAAAGAGGTGAATATCGTTAAGAGATCCCGCTGACATAAATCTTATCCATTTCAGAAGATGAGCCATTAACAATGAACCTCATCAACCTACCTGATAGGAAAGACTTGATGACGGATAAGATAGGCCAACATAATTGTCATGGCGACCTATCTACATTAGAATGAACTCTTCTTCCTTCATAAATACTAACCTGTGAGCCTTCCTAAGGGGGCAGCCAGGATGCAGTGTGACCTAACAGTTTGGACGGACTCTTCTATCTGCTGACTACTAACACTCTTATTTTGTATATATGTTCTGTTATTTCAATACACTTGTTCAACCTGTCTTCTTCTTTTCGTGTCTTTTTTTCTGGCCCCTTAACAGGCCACAACAATAATATCTAATGCGATCGCTCTCAAGATGTATCTATTATCAAACATTTCGTCGATTCAACGCGTGATGATTGTCAAGACATCAGTCATGGACCTAGCGGGTAGAAACCTATACTATTTGTCGCCCAGGAAGTTCTTTCTGTTTAGATTATCAACAACATTCTTGTTCATGATAGCTTCAAAAAGTTTGTTGGCTGATTGGACGTTACTCCTGCGTTACAATATAATTCTTCTGTTATCTGGTGGAATTGTTTGGATGGCCCTATTCGTCTGGAAGCAGAAAATCTAGAGGATGGTAGCCACTTTATTCCTTACACTTTGTGCGCGCTTATGTCCCTACAAATTCTCTTTGTGTGGGAGGTGGAATGCGCGACATGTTGATTAATGTATATCATCAGTATGCCTATCCAGTTATTTCAAGTACTCTGGTGGGGTCCTGTCGGCCAAACCCAGTTATTAAATGGATAATTGTTTATGGATGCTCTCCACTTATATAGTAGTGTGAGTTAAGTATTTTCATTATTATTATTATTATTATTATTATTATTATTATTATTATTTCCTTTGATTTCTGGTATTTACAATTTTTCCGGGTCCTTCCCAGAGATATAAGGTCAGAAATTGCATGATGACATTTTCCACTGACCAATTAAATAAAAAACGCACACACACAAAACACCCATATTTTACATAGATAAAACCCTTCGTAAGGTGTGGCCTGTAATCGTGAGGAAGGATTTTGTATCTTTTTTAAGGCATTGGTTTCCAGGAATCCCTTCAATGAGTCTACTGGAATCTTTTATAACTAATCCGAGGGCTCCAACTACAACAGAGATTATTGATGCTCTCATGTGCCACATTTGAGATTTCGATTTCAA